CGCGCGCGAGCAGGCCGAGGCGGCCCGTCGCCAGGCCGAATCCGCCAGGCAGGCCGCGGAGGCTGCCCGACGCGCCGCCGAGGAGTCGAGGCGCGCTGCCGAGGCCCAGCGCCAGGCGGCCGAGGAGGCTCTGGATGAGGCCGGCCGCAAGGTGGAGGAGGCCGAGGCCTACCTGGCCGAGGTCAAGGCCAAGCCGGGCAAGTGCCACGGCGCCATCTGGTGGATGGAGAAGGAGCTCGAGGAGCAGAAGAAGTACCTGCCCTCGTCCAAGGGCGGCGTCGCCAAGCGCGGCTAAGTGCCCCACTCCGTGTACCCACCCCCACAGCATTCATTTGTAAAAACAAGAAATATTACAAGCACTACGCTTTGGCCCAAACAGTTTGGTCATGTTCTCGAAGCAAACATAAGTTATTTATTTATTTATGTATTTATCTCTTCCGGACCAAGCGCGGCTAAGTGTTCCACTGCGCGGAGAGCTTCCTTGTCTGGCCCTCTGCTGTACCAAATTACAAAAGAACGAAGAATTTACGAAACAAAAGTCGCACAGGTTGAAATTTCGTATGGTGATGGAGAAGAGGGATGTTCGCTGGAAACTCGCGCTTCTGTTCTACAACGCGCGAGAGGGGTTGTTGTTTCTCCTTTTCCTCTCTCTTCACCGCTGCTCTGCGCTTTCTCCCTCGATCTTCCCTCTCCTGCATATCCTTTCTTCGATTCTGGAGCATCCATCCTCTGCTACGTCCAACTTTCAACCACGAGGCTGCGAGTATTGAGGGGATCTGGCATTACCGCGTAGTGCCACAAACCACATCGAATCATCCATCAATTTACTGCACAGCCCCAGCCCGTCCGAATTGAGCACAAATAGTGATGGGGAATTCGCCCTCAGCCTCTCCGCCCTCTCTGGAACTCCTTGCCGACCCCATCGAAGAATTGGAGGGACGGCTGTTTTGGCCTTCCCAGCCTTACGAGGGTCCCGTGAAGCTACGATTCTGCTGCGATCGATGCAGGTGCATCCCTGTTCCTCTCACATGAGAAAGCGTGCAGAGCTCTTCTT